ATATATATATATATATATATATGATGCTACTGTTAGCCAGGTTTTTTGGCAAATACAAATTAAAGAAGAAGATAAATATAAAACAACATTTAATGTACCATTTGGCCAATTTGAATGGAATGTCATGCCTTTTGGTCTAAAAAATGCACCATCTGAATTTCAAAAAATAATGAATGATGTATTCAATCATTATCATAAATTTATGATAGTTTACATTGATGATGTCATAATATTATCTGATTCTATTGATCAACATTTTCAAGAGTAATTTCAATTGCATTTCATAACTATAGCATCAATACATATTGTTACAATGGAATACTTATGTTTACATGAAACTTATTGTTGACATATACAATAGCTATTAAACAACTTCCATTCTGATGGACAGTAAGTAGGGAGAAAAGAGAAATTACAATCAGAGAAAAGAGAAATTACAATCACACATGAAGAAAAGTAAGAATAAAAGTTACCGACTTTGTAGTAGACGGTGTATACAGGACTAATAGAAAGCTAACTTACTGTAGTAGAAAAGAGAGAGAGAATAGCAGAGAAAATTAAGAGAGGAATGTTGAAGAAGGTCTTCTGATGTACCTGTGAGGTTTCCTTGTTCTCTGCCCTTCAACTTTAGCAGAGATGAGGTTTTATAGACGGAATCGAATGTCGATGGCTGCCAGGTGGACTTAGATGCTCGTCTAGGAGGATGGTGATATGATGGAAGATGCCTTTGTAGATAAGGATCACTGCATTTGTGGCTGAGGAAGTCTTAGTAGTGTCGGTGAAGAAGGCTTGGTGGAATGGGATGCCATGTGGCAGTGAATAAAACAACAGCGGTCGGTGAGGATCTTGCTTTATACTGTGTAGGAGTCTTAACAAGTGAAGGAATCCTGCTTTTTACTATTCAAAGGGTCATATCAGGTTGCTTTATGGATAATTGGGAAAGGGTCATATGAGGTCTACTTTATGGATAATTGAGATATTTTCTTGAACTTAATGGGCCTGAGCCTCAGAGTCACGTTTTTGACTGAAATCCTCCAGTAATAAGGGATTACCGGATTGGACCGTTTCTTCTGATGTCGCCGATACTGTAGAAGGTTCAGCAAATATTTCAAAGAGTTGTTTTTCTAAA